AACCACAAATTACTGCTGCTCTGTAACTTCAGAGCTTTTTGCTTTGTGTCAAAGTAAACAGGTACATATGTTAGCACCATTGAGTGAGAAGAGTCAGTAGGAAGAGCCTGAGGTTCTCATTCCTCAACAACATCTGCTAACAGAACAGAACAAAACACAATTAATGAACTGCAGCCGGAGGTGAAGGAGAACCTTCAAGTGTAGACTCTGCAAACCTCAGCTTGCACGTTTGCCAGTGGCTGTGCAGTCAAAACTCCTAATGGTTGCAACACAGATTCTTCTGGAGTCTCATCAGTATAGGTCTCCATTGTGTCACATTTTAGTTCCTAAGAAAATTTTGCTTGCAGAGGTTTTGTTTTGTTGTGTTTTCCTGCAAGACTATTTCATCTTTAGAGCAGGATATCCTCTGTGTTTAACTGGTGCCTAAACACAATGATAGGTGATTTTATATAGGGTTTGGTTATACTGCTGTACAAATTGAATGTATTTATATTCATAATAAAGTGAAGCTCAAGTTGTGCCTTCCTGGGTCTATCTATCACCAGGAAAAATTGGTTATAACTTCCCAAAAAATGTATTTGGAAGTCTGCAAACTTGAAAACCTCTCATAAACAGATTTATGAGGGACTGGGTTTTGGGGGTTTTATTTTTGTTTGTTTGGGAGGTTTTAATTTTGGAAAATCTAAGCAAACTCATCTCAGACTTTCTTACGCTAGTCAAACGTGGGAAACAGCCCACTTCCCTTATATACACACACCAGTATTTCTGCTTTCAGCCTTGGGGTTTCCAGACATTTAGAGGGGCTCAGAAATTGATCAGAAGTTAATCTAATGCAAAATTTAAAGTTTCCAGCCCAGGTTTACGTAAATATCTTCTTCAGGACTTCATCCTGTGCAGTGTTCAGGACTGTGTAATGACCTAGCATCAGTTTGTGGAAAGGAAGTTTGTTCCTACAAACAGGTATTTTCACACTTGTACATATATTAGAACTTTTTCTTGTGTTTCAAGATATTTGTGGACATTTAGATGGAAAACTCTGTTAAGGATTTTTCAAATTAAGGTTTCTAGGAGTTAAATACATACTGATTCTAAATGCAATGAACTGCAGCTCTGTCAAGGTGCTTTTGGTTATTGTAGAAAGTTAACCTTCCCGAACTTTTTTGGCAGCACTTAATCTGGCTGTGAAAGTCAGGAAGCTTCAAAAGTTAATGTTCATATAAATTAATTTCAGTCAGTAATTTCTTATCCTGCTTGGGTTTTTTATTATTATTTAATCTGTTCATGTAATTTAATCTGCTTTAGCCTGTGTGACAGGATGTGAGTGTGATACAGCTAGAAACTGAAAGGACAAAATAGAACAGGGTAAGTAAATCCCTGTAAGGTCAACTGTTGAGATTTTGGAATTTCCTCACTGGACAGCTCAACCTTAATGATATTTTTGAATGTTTGGGTTTGGTTTGGGTGTGTTTGCTGGTTTGGTTTGCTTTTAATGTATGACTAAGATACAATTACTAGGCTGCTTGATTGCTGTATGGAAGTAAATGTCATAAAACTGAATCAAGTTTATCTTACACATTTTCCAAACTGCCTGCTATATTCACATCATCACCAGAGACCTTGAAGGGCAAGAACTTTTAGTGTATACACAATTACATGAACAAGAACCTTTTATGAACTCTTTCTAAAGCTCTTTAAGTTGATTACGATAAATTCAAAGTGAAACATTTAATATGCTTGTAGGGGTTTTTTTCACTTGGTATTCTTAACTTAAGACAGTGAAGGAAAGACTCTGAGTTTCACTTTTGCTTTTACTGAGTTTTACTTCTGGTTGATAGTGTAAAGTAATAGCAAGTGCTGTTTTGATTCAGTCCTGGAAAAGGATGAGAAGAGTTTTATTTAAAATCAGAACCCTAATTCAGTTTGAAATAAAATTATAAAAATATACATTGTGCTGATTTTTAAAAAGTGCTATGTAATTATTGCTCAAATGAGAGTCAGTATGAGATGCTTTGCTTTATGAATATTTCTGGAAAAGTCAGTTATTTCAGAAAGCATCAGTGTTGGTGTCCAGTGTGCACACTGGCAAAACTTTAACATCAAAACATTTTAGTTAAGAATAAATTATTAAGTATCTTTAGCATGGCTGTTTTGCTTTTGAACCTTCTGGCCAATTTCAGTTAGGACTAGCAGAAAGACAGGGGTTTCCCAAAGAAGTAAATTTCCCTGCTGTCTGGGTTGAGAAAGCTACACTGCTAGGTACCTGTGCAAACCAGCTAAGAAGCACTTCTTATACAGAGAGAGGTCTGTCCCACAGGCCACCACTGGAGTAACACTGCTTTAATTAATTGTGGGATCAGACTATATATAATTTCAATTAATTAAGTAACTTTCGCTGTTGCTCTGGGTTTACATTGGTACAAACAACATCAAACCTGTGTCAGTTGCTCTTCTTCTTTCTCTTCCTTTATTTTTCAACTCCAATCACGTCGGTAAGGTTATGTTTTTTTTTAATAATTAAAACAATAAGTAAAATTCAGCTGTTCCCATTTCCTACTTAGAAAAAAAAAAAGAAAAAAAGGCAAGCACCCAGGAACTGTTATGTTTCAAAACATTGGTTCTTCATTCCACTTTTTGTAGCGTAATGCAAATAAACCACATATTGGGAGTTCTCAGGGTGAGCATCTCAGGGTCGAGAAATAGCTTTGACAAACTCTTCTTCTTGGAGGAGGAAGATTTTTAGATAAGGAGTTCCAGCAAGTGCTGCCTCACACTAAGGCAAACATGCAAAGGACTAAAGTTCTCTCTTAGGCGAAGGGGTATGTATCACCAGCTGTCAAGCTTCCTTACATGCCTTCTATGGGATTATAATGATATCACTGCTGTAATTGTACATGAGGCAGAAACAGTGGTTAACTCGGTTTGATCCTCACAGGGCATAACCTCAAAATACATCATTTCTGATGTAAATTTCATGTGAAGGACCAAACAAATTGGAAGGGTTTACCTGATTTATTGAGGAGTACAACTAGTTGTCATCCACAGAAATGAAGGAAAGCTATTTGTTTATCGTTTTTTGTGAAATACCTATCCAGTGCTAAATGTTGCAGATTATCCTAAGTTTTACTGAATCTTTCTATATTTTGTGTTTGATTATGAAGCAGTTATTTATAAGAACATCTTGATTTAAGAAGTTAGCCTCTATGTTAGCACAGGATGCTACGTTAGCTTAGAAATTAGATGCTGTGTTGCTTCAAGTTGCTCTGTGACATGCTAGCCTTACTCCTTACTTTCTACAGCATGACCAAAGCACTAGGATCTATTCCATATAGGATGAATTGTCAACCTGCCAAAGTAGAAATCTAGCTGGCCAACTTTGCAACAAAACTTACTTTTAAGGTGACCTATAGTAAAATGCCTTTATTATGATACTAAAAAGCACACCCACAGATCAAGAAGACCTTTGCCCAAGTGAAGACCCTTCCCCTGCGCAAGTGTAGTAGCAGAAGAGAATGATACTGCAGATATTATAATTCTATGTAAATCACTAACTGGGAGTGTACTGCCTTGTAATTTTTGTGTTTAAATGTGACGATAAGATCAGCAATGGGTATGATTGATTGTGGAAATTCCGCCTAACACCCACCGCTGCAATAAAGAAGTGTCTGCTTCTTAATGCTGTATTGGTGTTAAGGATTTTTATTCTCCCGACTTTCGGTGACATGAGCACTGTTGAACCTGGCATTCCCAGGGCCAGAGAGGCCACACAAGAATGCCCTGCAGCCCTCGGGCCACCTTTTGACACCTTTGGACCAGGGGGGCAAACCCAGTTCTCTAAGGTGAGCCATGTGAGTCCATCCTTCCTGGTTTTGAATGTCTTCTCTTCTGCTTTCTCTGGCACTGCACAGTTGAGTCAGCCATAGGTCCCTAAAGCTACCAGCAAATCCGCTTGAGGTATTTGTAGCCAGCAGAAACTGTGAAAATGGGGCAGTTTGTGTAGAAGAGATGCTGCAGCAGGCACCATCAAGAAACAATCTACTAATCTACGGATGGGCTACAGTTCAGTACATGGCAGAGGAAGCAGGCTGAAAAGATTTCAACAGAGGTGGCTTTTACTTGGAACTGCCACTTTTCTGCTTTCCCTCAGAAAGGAAACTAACGTAATCTGCTACACACACAGCTTGCCAAGTTCAATATTTGGCAAGCAGCTGCAGTAACACCAGCAGGAGTGGCTTGCCATGAGAATGGTGGGCGAAATGCAGCTACTGAAATCCTTAGAACTGTATCTCTTGGTTTGTTGTGTGAGCTAGAGCTGCAAAAATACTCTGGCAAGGCTTGTGATTATTTTAGTTTTACTCACTATAAATCTTTTGTGGGCTAAAGAACAATATTTTAAAATATTTTTAAATATAAAGAGATAATTGAAACATTAGAACAGTTACATTGTTTCTTCCATTTTGTGCTTTCATATCTCTCTGACTTTTTTCCCCCACTGTTTTTTTTTTTAACTTCTGTTCCCCACCCTGCTTCTTTGGAAAGCAAAGAGCTAAAAGGTAGTATCTGCTCCCTAGAACTCCTTGCCTTAAGCCAGTGCTGGCTTTGTGTTGGAAATAGTCATTATAGTAGCAGTGGTAGACACTGTATGTAATGAAACATAGTCAGGGCTTTCACCGGTGGAAGGTTAATGAGAGAAAACCTCACAGTATTGCTAAGTAAACACAGCATTAGGTCTGCTTCCTTGGCTAGGGGTCCTAAAAGAAAACAGTCTTTCAGCTTCGTAACAGTGGAGCCATATGTCAAGATTTGCTCTTGTGCAACCCATAGCCCCAGGACTTCATAAGAATTGCGTATTTAGTAGGATGATATGCTACTTTTTTTAAGGGAGCCTATATATTTCAATGCCTGTCAGCAAGAAACTTTGATTTTGAGTTTTAGTAAATAGTTTGCTTTCATGCTGTACTTTAAAACTCAAGAGGATTCAGCTAGATCACTTTTCACCTGTGTGTCAGGTAAGGCTTTCTGATCCCAAGGCAGAAATCTTTTTCCTTTGAGGTCTTTCATGTGTTATTTATGGGGAGGAAACATATTGGATCCCACAGGGCTGTCTAGCACTGCAAGAACCAGGAGCTGAAAGATGACCAAGTAAGAAAAGCACTTGCTTTCAAACAGTTAAATGCTAAAACAAATTAAGAAGATTGTATAATAGAAATACCATGTCTCAGTTTTCCTGGTGAAGACTAGAGATCTTTCTGAAAATTGTTATTTCCCTTGAAGAAGGAGGAATGCACTAATACGCAGGAGATCACACTCTCTGTAATGAGCAATGCCTCTTGGTCCTAAACTCTCTGACTTCAAGATGACAAGCCTTCAAGGAGACCTCTAAGATGGAAGAGAGGAAGACAGTGCTTTGTTTCCACAGCAGGGACTAGTAGGGCACATTTAGTTAAAAGAGCTCTATTTGCTTTTCCATTTTATAAACCCTGGATGAAAGTCCCTGTAGTGAGGTAGATCAATGACCGCTGGACAAAAGAGAGTGAAGTTGTCTGGGTGAGTGGCCAAGGAGACACCCTGCAGAAAGGTCCGTGTACATGCCAGGGAACAGAGAAGGAAAGTGATCCCGCAACTAGAACCCCACAGCAGCATGGTGGGGGCTGCTCTTCCAGCTTGTACAATGGAGGAAAGGCCATGGAACCAACAGGAAGAGGGGAGAACAGCAGAGAAAGCAATGTGCTACAAAGGAAATCTTTCTGAAGTAAAAACGGCAGGGTCTAGTCTAGACAGGAATCTACTGTAGACAAAATAACCCAGACAAATCCTGTAGTAAAACAAACAAAACAACAACAGAAAAAGAGAGTAAATGTAGAACCACAACATGCCTATAGCCCTCATAAGGTGAGAGAAATGTTTGCACGGGCCTGAGAATCTGTGGATCTTCATATTTTCTAGTCCAGCTCCCTGTGGGATACAAACGAGCCACTTCATTCTTCTGCATCACTGGCAGAGGTAGTTCTCCAAAATACAGACTTTGGAACAGATGATAAAAATCCATAAAACCAAGAATTTCATTATGTGAATGCAAACAATATACTTTTTCATATTTATACATCTGTTACTTAGCAAAAACATTCAAATAGTTCACCAGTAGCACTATTCTTGCCTGGAAAAGATGTAAGGTAGAGGAAATCAATGGGAGAACTTACTGAAACCTGAAAAGGTGTGAAAACAGAAGTTTCAGTCAAGTTCTCTCATAGGAGCTCGCTCTTAGAAAACTGGGTGAGTGAAGAACAGGCAATGAACATAAGCATGGTTACATTTTTACTCCGTGTTTCAGTGAGTCAAGTGAGGATTTTGATAATTTCCTGTATTTTCCTTACAAAGTCCCCACAGCTACTCAGCAATTTCTGACAAAATTGCTCTTTTTTTTTGTAAATCTGTGGGGTTGGGGAGAGAAAAGAAGGGTCATAGGATTTTGTAATATCCTTCTCCTTGGAAGGATACTTGGAAGGAATGAACACTTTTTACTGTAAATTTCAACCCATAAAATTCATCTGCTTACAATGCCTGTTTAACTCTGCAAGCTGAAACAGATGTTCATTCTTCATTCGTACTTCAAAATTGAAAACTAAGAACTATTTAGACAGCTGCTATGTTCTTCTTGTGACAAGGCCTGTCCCAGATGGTGTGACTTTAAATTAGCCTGCCCTGTCCCATCACCCTCTTGTTGAGTAAGAAGCTGTTAAGGAGCCTGTGTGTCCGGTAATAGCCTGTTCTTCTAAGATGGCTAATTATGTTCTACATACCATGGAAAAGGACAGATCTTTTCAGATCAGCTCTTCTTCCTTTTGAATCCATGTGTCATTACTTAGAAAAGACTAGAACAAGATCTTGACGCTGTTTCAAGGGGACACTTGCTACTGACATTGATAGTGAAGGATGAGAAACAGTATTTTTTTATTAACAAACTGACACATTTCAAAAAGGAACAGGAATAACATATGCTAGGTTGACTTACTTAACTTGGATTTGTTGTGGATATTTTCTTTGGAAGTATATTATACATTATTTGAGTCACAAAGGCAAAGGTGAAAATAGTGGATAATACTCTTGAGACATGAATTATGAAGTAGATTTTTACATTCAGTGCTCAGAATGAAAAATCTGTAGATGTGTTTATAAATACACATAGTTAAAGAAATCTCTCAGGAAGCCTTACTCTATCAGGCACCTTCTGAACACTGACATACAAACAAGCCATAAGTTTGTTTTGGTTTCCACTCCCCCACACCCCTTTGGTGATGTTAAAACAAATGAAAAAACAAAACTCATGCATGTTGTGACCTAGACCCAGCTTAGAGATGCATGGTATTTTATACCTAATCAAAACTACATTTCCAGACACACAGAAGAAAATCGTCTGCCCTGACAGTGCTGAAGGATGACCATTTAGAACCAGGGTCTTATCTTGCAGAATGTATCTACATTCACCACTGGCTAAAGAAACTTTTTTCTTACCCATGGAGAGAGTTTGATTGCAAAAGGCATAAGTAACTGTCAAGGAGCAGAATGGTTGCAGATTAGAAGATAAGAAAAACATTTGTTCTTAAACAGTGTGACTTTTGATGCAGCCTGCCCTACTGTGCCTATCAGATTTTGTATAATGGGATACATCACTAACATGTAGTGATGATCACTCGAATCAAGCCCTTAATCCTACTGGCTCACCCACAGTTAAGCACCAGGTACTTCAAAGAGTCTACAACAGATCTTCACCATTGGCTCACTGTTAAAGGACTACTAATGTTCATTATATGAACAGCACAGTGGAGGCTGCCAAAGAATTGTGGCCAGACATACAGGGGAGAATGGGGTGATGGTAGACAGTCTAGCAGACATACAGCATGAGGACACTTGTACAGACACCCATCTAGTCCTGGGGTGATCCATGCACACCCCCACCCAGATGTGCAGAGGGATTGCCACTAGTGGCAGGCTCCTGGCTGCTTCACTTTTGGGGCCTCCCAGTCACCATTCACCCTGAAGTAAGGAGTTGCTTTTGGCCGTTGTTTTCTTGTGGCTATATCCTGATCAATACCAGTTTATAAATCAATCATGTAATGGAATTATGTTTGGGTTGGAAGGGACCTCAAAGGTCATCTAGTTCCAACCCAGTGCCATGGATATCTTCTACAGACCAGGTTGCTCAAAACCCTGTCCAACTTGGCCAGGGATGGGCAGGGATGGAGCAGCGACAGCTTCTCTGGGCAACCTGTGCCAGTGCCTCACCACCCTCACAAGGAAGACTTTTTTTTTCTAATGCCTAATCTAAATGTCCCCTCTTTCAGTTTAAAGCCATTCCCCCTTGTCCTGTCACTACATACCCTTGTAAAAAGTCCTTCTCCGTATTTCTTGTAGGCTCCTTTAGGTACTGGAAGGCTGCTTTAAGGTCTCCTTGGAGCCTTCTCCAGGCTGAACAAGCCCAACTCTCCCAAGCCTGTCTTCACAGGAGAGGTTCTCCAGCCCTTCAGTCATCTTCATGGCCTCCTCTGGACTCACTTGAGCAGGTCCATTAATAATAAACAATGATAAAAATCAATGCTATTTTCTCCATGAATCTCCTCATTGCTACATCCACAAACGCAGTTGTTTCTATATCCTGTAGTACACAGGGAATATAGGCCTGTATGCTCTTTTTTGTGTGTATACATAATAATCTTACTGGTCCAGAAGAGATATTAGCACCTGAACCTAGCATCTACTGCTGCAGATACACTACAAATCATAGTAACAAATCTGCCCTGTAAGTGTCACAACTTTATCTAGCACAAGTGCTAGTTGGACACTGTGATGCTGTGATGCAGTGCATGACTTGCTGTCATTACATATACAATGCTGTCACCTCAGAGTTCAACCCCCACACTCTCTTCCCTGCAGGACTTTTCTCTTTTTACCCCTACCACTGACAACAGGCAGCAGGTGTATTTCAGACCTTGTCAGTGCTGCTTCTAGATCATACACAATGAAAACTGTACATAATCCCCCAAGAATGATATTCTAAGACAGATCTTACCAAGAGCTAAGCAGTAACTGTAAAATATGTCCCTTTCACCTTTTTGCTTTTAGAGTTACCATCACACAGTTGCTTGTCTCACTTGGTATTCCCTAGGACTAAATAGTACTTTCATCAGACATACAAAATAGAAGCATGGAGATGGCTATACATTGTCACAAAAAACAAAGAGAAAGAAATTCATAGGCAAAATTATGCCTCCTGAAAGCTGGTACTTTTCCTCTGGCTGCTGTCTCAAGAGTGTAATTGAAAAATGGGGAAGTGAATGTCAGAGCCTGCAAAACAGCAGAATTACGGCTCAGTGGCTTGAAACAAAATCCATTTGACTCATAGTATTACCTGTGGATAAGGAAAAGAGAAGAGAGAGTATCTATGCTCTGGCAGTAACATAATCACCATTTTGAAAATATTGACAAAGTCACTCACTTACTGTTTTGGCCTTGGTAACTTACCTCCTGTGTGCTTCTCCAGACAGTTATTGCACTGGCTTCTATTCATGCACCTTCAGTAAACTGCACTGGCTTGGACTGAAGCAATAATCTCTACTACTCCAGAACACGTCCTACAGCAAGTTAACATGAATTTTCTGACATAACCACAGAAGGTGCAGTCAAGTTACCATCACAGCTTAGAAACTGAAAAGAGTTTGACAATAGATATTTCAGAAGTGGAAGAGGGTGCATGCTAAAGGCACACTTGGCAAATACTTTACAAATCACCACTGCAGCAGCCTTTCCAGTTAGGCAAGTTTAAAGATATTCGCCATTTAGTGAGGTGTTCTGATTAGTTCTCCCCCAGCCCCAACCATTTTTCTGTGTGTTCTTCAACCTCTCCCAGTATGTTAAAATCATTGCAATTAAAATGCATATTACAAAATACTTTTGTTACTTAGTCCCATCCCTCACTTGTTACCACCTTATGGTCCAGCCTTAAAGTTTTTCTGCAAGCAGAAGAGTTTTCAATCACAGCAGAAGGGTATTATCAGTTGTTCACCCAAAGGATTAACTAAATTGCAGATGGATAGCTCAAAGAATACAGTATGATTAAAGTACAGCTAATCAGTTCAAATTCAAGTCATGTGAGTATTAAATCTGCCATTATGGATTGATGTGAAAGATGCATCTCCTAGTAACTAGCATCTTTACCATAAAGTCTGTGGCTAGAAAGAGTATGAATTGTCCTCACCAGAAATTAATTTCCTCTGTCCAGCTCTAAAACTGAATTATTTTGCTGTGGGACCACTCCACTGAAACAGATGTTAACTGCTGTTCTGCCAATAAACAAACAACTTTTATCTGTAGGATTTCCTCCTAGTAAGTACTGTTCCCAGAATGTGAAGAGCTAACAATTTTAAGAAAGCTCTTACCTAAAATCTCCTCTGGAATTGTTCCTGTTTCTGCAGACTGGCTGTTCTGAGAAAATGTATCTTTTTCTCTGTAAAGCCACAACTCAGAATGAGTTGCAGCAAGCATTGTGCTGTAGAGCTATACAATTTGCAGCAGGGCTATGAGTTAGCAGTGCAGCTTTAACACTGAGGTTTAGTTAAACACAGGTAATTTTATGACCTACTTACTCTATTGCTAAAGAATCTGCTACCTGGGCAACACATTGCTGTTTCTACGTTTGGTGAAACTGGGACATTTGGAAAATCTGTCACAGCTTCAAAGCTAAAAGCCTTAAAAGTATAAAAATAATAAAGCTTTTGATTTTTGTAGTTTTGCCAATACTTTCAAATTTTTATTTAGTTTACTTGCCAATTTTTGAAATCTGACCTATGCCACAATCTTGTATCTTTAATTAGTGTAAATTTAATATCTTTATTCTAGTGGCTGTTAATGTCAGATTGAACATTTCACCTTTTGGATCAGTGGCTCCTTGTAATTAGGGTAATTTAAATTTGGAGAGTTTCTACATTTTTTCATTGCAGAAGTGACAGAGGGGATCAAGGTAAACTGTTCTTGACCACAGTACTTTTTCCTAATGTAGCTTAAAATTCAAAACAAACAAACAAAGACCCCCAAAATACTTCTGTTTCACTCTACTGTTCACTCTTATTTCAATCTACTGTTTTATTTACAGTTTCCTTAGCTGCAAATGAAATTTTGGAAAGATAGAAAATTGCAAGGGCCTCACCCTCTCCCTTCCTCCCACCCTGGCAACTCCCAACGCTATTCTTTTGATGTATCAATTCAAAATAGTCACTTATCTTTTGAAGTTCCATCGTATAGTGCTGGAGAAAAGGCCTTGAGGTTTGGTGGTTGTGGTTTTGTTTTGCTGCTGATTGTTTTGTTTCAAAGGGGAATAAAACCTTACTTAGGAAAAAAATACTTTATTTTCCAAAACATTCTTAGACAGATTGCAATAAGAACAAAGTACAGTACAAAAATGACTCACACAGCCTGCAATAGTTAATAAAACACTAATCAAATACCTAACTTTTTGTCAAGGTCCTTTTGGGTCCAGTATACATTTTTCATATTACAGAGGTAATCCCCACTTTACAGTGGCATCAGATAAAAGTTTGCAAGACCGTTATAAGACAGTCGCCAGTATTTGCTCTATTACATACATATACGAGGTTTTGACATGGCTTTATTTTACACTGAGTGTAGTTCAAAGTCAAGTATAAATTTCTCTCGTGTCAGGAGTTCAGCATTAAATTCAGCAGGTTTGCCTAGAATCTACCAGAAGTCTTTCTTGGGTAAATATTTATAATCCTGGTAGAAACTTTTTGCACCTGTCAATCCAATACACTGTTTCATAACAGAGCAGCTGCACAAAATGTGATGGCACAACTGAATGTGTTTCTCTCCCTCAGAGCCTCCAGCTTGTTTTACTGCCTTTCACAACTAGTTATGAACTGCAATGTGTGGCATGCCAAACAAACCTAAAAAGAATATATACAGCAAGACAAACAGCTTCAAGATTTCTCCTCCCATGCCTATCTTTGCAGAGGATGCAGTAAAGGCACAACCTATACCAACTTAGCAAGTCAGTATAGGCTGTGATCTCTTCTGCAGAATTCTAACAGGAAGGAAAACTAAAAGACAGGGTTGTTTTTTTTCTTCCTGTGAAACTGTAATTTATCACAGAATGGTTTGGGTTGAAAGGACCTTAAAGATCATCTAGTTCCAACCCTACCACCCTGCCACAGGTGGGGACATAATTCACTCAATGAAAGCAGGGGTGAAGTATTTGACAAATTCTATACATATGCAATGTATAAACAAATGTTACTGTCAGACCTTTACTTTTATTTCCATGACAATACTGTCTTTGCAATTACCTCAAGAATCTATTGTTTCTGTTGTGATCATTTGTTTTGCACTGCAAAGCTTGTTTTGGTCGATCTTATTTTCCCTCTTTATCTAAACCTTTCGGAAAAAGCTAAGAGCAAAGTCTGTAGATACACAGAACTAGAACACCCCTGCATTAAGGCTTGAGGGCACGGGGCGTTACAGGCACTTATGTCCCATTCACTGGAATACAGTGCAAGAGTCCCAAGCTAGCTGAGGCTCTAGCCAGCCATTCCCTTTAGCACAGAATACTGGCATTGCATATATAAACAGCACAAGTCTAAATAGTCTAAAGTCAGCTTCACTGTTTACATGCAGCAAGCTTGGGTACCTCTGCACTGGAATCACCACTAGCTTCCCTGTGCCAGGATAAGCACAAGGAAGGGCAGGCTTTATTAGATCTTCACAGCGTTTTCTGTCACCCCATTTCACCAAGTCTGCAGATGTTTCTTATCTTATAGTTTTGCTAAGGTTGGAAAATCCAATGCCAACACATGTCATTAAGACTTTCTCCCCACCCACGTACTCTTCCTCAGGGGACTTTGTTTCAATTTTAAACATGATCTGGAAGAAGCTTCTCAAGTGTCGCAGAAATTCAATTCTGAGGGAGAGAAAACAACAGAGTTTAAGAAACAAAACAGAAAACCCATTACCAATACATACCAACACTGATGACAGCACTGAGTGCAATGAACAGAACAGAAAATGTTGCTTAGTACAGAGAAACAAGCCTACAGGCTCCAAACGTTGTTCTCACTTGTGCTGCAGAAGTGGCTAGTGACCCCTGCTGAAACCACTGCATTCTGTACGAGCAGAGAGAAGAAATGCCTGGTAGCACAGCAAGGCAAAATGGTGTGGAAGAAAGAAAACATGTAGCCAGGCAAGATCACTTACTAATGATGCTGACTTCCCATCAGGGCCATATGAACTTAATAGCAACCTGTGCAAATCCCCCCTCCACCCCGTTCAAAAAACAGAAGAGGGATAGTTAAAAGGCTGGCCATATGTGCATATTTTAAGAAGAGAGACATCAATTCCTGAAGCATGTCTTTGATTTGTATTACTAACATACCCACTTCTTAGTTAAACATTACATTAGAATCACATTCTGACTCAATTCTTCCTGTTTTCTCCCCTCGTTTTCAGGAGGAAAAAAAAAAAAAGTAATTTTCTTTTCATCACTTTAGAATAAGAAGCACAGAGAGACTAAACAGACACAGCACTTGCTCCTAAACACACACTGACTGGAAGGTGAGTGAGAGGAAAAGCTACTGAAAAGTATTAAAAAAAAAGGAACAAAAACAGCCAAGAAAACTTTCCTACTGTCTTCCCCAAAACAGGGAACAAGCAATTACACCAAAAGCCTACAAATATAAAATGGGTAATTGCTCGTGACAGAAGTCTGGTCTCTTCCAGTCATGGCCACAAGCATGCCTGCAGTCTTGAACTAAGGTTTAATCTCCTCCAGCAATTGGTATGTGCCCTTCTTAGGTTAAGTTTAACCTTTAAAGAAAGGGAATTCAACCCACACATTTGTTTGGCTGGCAGTCTGTAAAAAGCCTCTGCTCTGCAGGCTGAGAGCATAATCACACATCATTACACCAAAGCAATGAAAAGTGCCCACAAAATGGGAAGCCAGAAGTCAAGGTATAGGACTGTCCCCACTGCAACATCATGAGGCCTCTGAAAGCTTCCTGGCAGCTCCTGTTCATAGAAACTGTAAACAACAAAGCTGCAGGAACAAGAATTGCCTTACGCACTTCATTTGGGCATGCTGCTGCTCCTGCGCTTGAGTATGTGCATGGGGTAAGGAGGGAAACGGCAGGACTCAGCAGAGAGGCTCCTGTTACCTTCAGGGGCCTGTTCTTAGCAAGACCTGAGAGTTATCTCTGGGGGCAGCCAGCTGAATACCTCTGCAGGGTGAATGCAGGCACATGGCTACCCATGCTACATACACCTTTCTGTCTCTACCATCCCAGGCTGGTATCTGGCTTCAGCACAGACACCAACTCTCTCATTTCTCAAATGGATTAACAGTTGAAAGAAAACCAAAAAGCACCTTTTCTTCCATGCCTCCCCAAATGCAAGGTTTATGGTTGCTGCCATAATAGGCAAATGGGCATATGCTAGCCCAAACACTTCAGTGAATCTGACAGGCAACGAGCTCTGTACTAGCCTCCTCCTTAGCTGGGTCCCCTCCCAGAGCTCTGGCAGGGTGACAAGAAAGCAACCCAGCCCAAAACAGCAGGAGTGGTGTGCTGAGCTGCAAGGCGGGCACAGAATAAACTGTGTAAATGCCAGAGGCAGTGTGGAGCTGGAGGCTGAGAGACGCTGATCAGCAAGCTCTGCAGCCTGTTGGTGGGCTCAGTTCAGTCCATACCTCTCTTTGCACATACATGGACTACTGTGCTTCTTTACTTCTTCTCCATTTTGAGTAAAAGCAGAGTGAGAAAAAGCAATAGGGCTTTGCCACAGCTCCGTGGTACACAGGAAAGGCTCACAGGGGTGCGAGCGAAGGCAAGGCTGCCTGGGAATGCCAGAGGGAAATCTGGGAGCCCCAAGAGGCCAGCTGTCTTGCAGAACTAGAAGCACAGTGGCAAGAGCCCTGAAACAGGACAAAACCAGAGGAAGTCAGGGGTATGTGACAGAGCACAGCAGAATGAAGGTTTGTGTTAGCTAGAGGCTGATACGGGTTGTGTGTGGGAAGGCTTGCACTTCAAACAGGAGTGGAACCTCCACCAATCATGCATGTATGGACTGGAGAACTGAGGGAGGGGGTGAGAAGTATACAGAAGTTTTATGTTGCTGGGAATTTAGAACCGTATGCTCAGGCATGAACACAGCAGAATTGAACACTTTTCCTTAGACCCATGGAGAGCTACATGAGCCACACTGCAAGTCTTCCTCAGGGCCACTGCTTTCAAATAAACCCCCACTGTATTACCAATAACCTGAAAAGGGTAAACAATCTGTTTACCCAGGTGCGGTTATTTCCCAGAAGCCTGCTGGTACACAACCACCTCACACATCTTAGCTCTCTGTCAGGGCAGAGCGACCGACTAACAGCTCCGTGCACCAGTGATGACTCCTTGGTTCGACTACCCCGAGAGCAGCGCAGGGCTCAGCTGGCAGCGCCG